TAAGTGTTCTCAAATATTTTCTTTACTTCTGACAAGAGGATTGTGCAGTGTGTCCCCTATGCTCCTGACTCCAGGTTTTTCTTGTTCTTTTTCTTTTCTTTCCTTTCCTTTTATTTTCTTTTCTTTGTGTTTCTTTGTGTAGCCCTGGCCCATCTGGAACTCTCTCTTGTAGACCAGGCTGGGCTCAGATTCACAGAGCAATGCCTGCCTCTCCCTCCCAAGTTCTAGGATTAAAGGCGTGTACCCCCACCGCCCAGCAGAACTCCAGGTTTTCTGTGCTTGCGTTCCTTAGGAACCTCTGGTCTGTGACTTTTTCTTTTTTATGTATGTGTATGTCTGTGGGTATGTGCACACTAGTGCAATGCATGAAGGGACCAGAAGAGGGCATCAGATCCCTGGAGCTGAAGTTATAGGTGATGTGAACCCCCATGTGGGTGCTGGGAACAGAACTCAGGTCCTTGAGAGAGCGGAAGGTGCCCTTGTCCTGTGCACCTCCTCTTCAGCTCCCCTGTAACTTTCCGTTCTGACTTTGGTATCAGGGTGATCTGGCTCTGCTTTTTAAATTGATCTAATGAAGTCATGTAGGAAGCCCTGTTGTTTAATGCTATGCCCATGAGCTCCATCTGTGGGGCTGTGTATAACCGGGAGTTCATTTTCTATTATTCTAACAGACAACAACAAAGCCCTCTCACACAGTCCTTTACAGACAGTCCTTGAGTAGTTTCTAATATTCCACATACCAGATTTTAACGGAGTTTGACATGTCTGGGATTCCCGCACTTGGGCAGTAGGAGGAAGGGGGTCAGGAGTTGAAGGTCTTTTTTAAAAAGCCTTCAACAGAAATCTGTGCAAACATTCTTGTGTTTCTGTGGGACAGCCTCCATGTCTCGGTGAACTAACTAGACGATGGAATATGTGTTGCTCGTACTCAGGGGGACAAAGCAGCTCTGCAGAGTCACTGTGTGGTTGTCCACCCTGCTGGGTGTCAGAGCTCCTCTTGTGCTTTCCTTGTTTGGTTTCTGACGACGGAACCCAGGGCTTCACTTGTGCTAGTCCATCACTGTGCTGCCGAGCCTTGCACCCAGCCTGTGCTTGGGTCGCGTGTGAGCTGTCGGGTCGCGTGTGAGCTGTCGGGTCGTGAGTGAGCTGTCGGGTCGCGTGTGAGCTGTCGGGTCGCGTGTGAGCTCTTGGGTCGCGTGTGAGCTGTCGGGTCGTCGGGTCGCGTGTGAGCTGTCGGGTCATGTGTGAGCTCTTGGGTCGTGAGTGAGCTGTCGGGTCGCGTGTGAGCTGTCGGGTCGCGTGTGAGCTCTTGGGTCGCGTGTGAGCTGTCGGGCCGCGTGTAAGCTGTCAGGTCATGTGGGAGTTATCTGGCCGTGTGTGAGTTTTCGGGCCTGTGTGAGCTATCTGGTTGTGTGTGAGTTATCGGGTTGTGTGTGAGCTATCGGGTCATGTGTGAGCTACCATGTTGTGGTGTGTCCTTGTTCTAGCCCTGCGGGTAGGATGGGATGGTGTCTTGCTATGATTTAAGTTTGCGCCTCCTTGCTGATGGGGGAAGTCCAGCACTTTTCCTTCTCTTTTCTGGGTGTTTGGAGTGACTCTTTCTTTTATAGTGTGCTGTTTTTTAGTGTGTTGTTTTTGTTTGTTTGGGGTTTTTATTGTTATTGCTGATTTTAGTTTTACTGTTATTTTATGTGTATGGGTGTTTTGTCTGCGTGTATGTTTGTGTATCACACACACACACACACACACGCCTACTGCCTTTGGAGGCTAGAAGAAGGAATTGGATCCCCAGGAACCGGAGTTACAGATGGTTGTGAGCCACCTGGTGGGTGCTGGGAACCCAATCTGAGTCTTGCACGAGAGTGCCAAGGGCTCTTAACCACTGAGCCAATTCTCTGGCTACAGGTGTTGCTGGTTGCGGGCAGCCCCATGGCTGGAGTTCCCCTGCCGTTTTCTGGGGATTGGTTCTGTGTGTAGTATGAGGTAGGGTCAAGATCCTCGTCCCCCATGTGGAGAGCAAGTGGAACCATTCATCGGAACAACGGTTCTTCCCTGTGTGCTCCAAGTCATAAAGCAGGTGTCCTTACACCCATGGACTGAGTGGACACTTCTGTTCCGTTCCACCGATCTGTTTGTCTACCCTGGCAGTGTCTCGGTGACCAGGACTTTAGGGTTGGCTGCCTGACCTGGGTGTGGCTCCCCTAACTGGGCCTCTGTTGTTGGCCTTGGTTGTTCTTGGCCTTTTGTGTGCTGTTGGGCTTAGCCTTAGCCTGTTCTCTGATTGTCCTGGCTCTGTTATTTCTCCTTCCAGAGGCTCCCACTCCTGACAAAGACCCTGTAGGCTGTGTGGCCTCTGCCGGCCTCCAGCCTAGTCCATCCCTGGGGCCCTATAGTCTGGGCTTAGTCACAGTGGCTGAAGGGCAGGGTCACAGTCAACTCAGCCTGGCCAGTGGGGTGTGGGCCCTCGCTGGCACACAGCCATCAGGAAGGTCAGGAGGCAAGTGGATGCTTGGTCCAGCAGGCAGAGGTGGGTGGTTCCAGCTAACTGCATGTATGTTTGGGTATCACGGGTGTGCCTGGTGCCCATGGAGGCAACAAGAGGAGTCTGAATCCCCTGTTAACAGTTATGAGCTGCCATGTGGGCGCTGGAAACCGAAACTCCATCCTCTACAAGGGCAGTCAGTGCTCTTAACCACTGAGCCACCTCTGCGACCCCGGTCCTGCCTCTCCCGAGCTTGCTATTTGTAGCTGGGATGGAGTTCCTGCCACCCTCAACGTTTGTTGGGATGGTTCTGTGGTTACTGAATCCCAGTGTCTCACTGTGCGTAGTGGAGATGCAGAGGTACTTTGTAAGCCCTGTGCTCAGAGGGGGAACTGGGAAAATGAGCCGGGAGTATCCAAACGGATACAATGTAACTGGTGCTGGGCTCCTGGGGGCTCCCAATGGCCAAGGCAAGAGCTGGATTGTGTAGGAGAGGGGAAAGCCTTAGCCCACAGCTTGAAGACCTGCGAGAAAGGCCTGACACCAGAATGTTGGGCTCCAGGGTAGAGGATGCAAGGGTGAGATTGTCAGGGAAAGGGATGTGGGTGGACATCAGATGGCTGGGAATTCCAGCCTGTCCTTAACGTGACACGGGGTCTTGTCAGCTCAGACACAGCCATAAGTGGTCACGCCTGGAGCACAGCCCTGGGGAGAGAGGCTGGCTGGTCAGTCTTCCTCTTCCTGTTTATGTTTTGCTTTCCGAGATGGTGCCTGGAGATGGGAGAGGCTACGGTCTGTGACCCCTTGAGACTCTGACCCCATGGGGTACTATGTGGCAGCAACCTTTTGATTGGAGTGCAGGGGCTGAAGGGTTAGAGGCCAGGTCCCCGGAACAACTCCAGAAGTAGGCCAGGGTCAGCCTGCCTGTCAGGGATGAGGGGAATGACTGGGGTAGGCACAGTCGAGCCTCTGGTGGCCTGCTCCTGTCCATCCATGCCCTCCTTCCTACCCACCCAACTCCTCCTTACCCCGTTTCTTCTGGCTACCCCATCTTTTCTTCCTGAGAGAGCAGATCCTCCCTGTAGTGTTGAGCCCTCTGTGGCCTGGCGAGTGGCCAGAAGTTTCATTTGCCGTCCTGGCTGTGTGATCTCAGCCTGCTTGCTCCCGCTCTCCCGGCCCCCTGGGCTCCAAAATACTGGAATCCAAGAGCTGATTTCTCGGCTCCCTGATCTAATTCTTGTGACTTAAATTGCTTCCTGAGCCCCGGCTGCTGAAGCCTGCAGGGCTGATGAACCTGCTTCGTGCCTAAGGGCCCTGAGGTTTTCCAGTCTCTCCTTTCTCTTTTCCCAGGCCTCCAGGGCGGAGGGAGGCCTAGGGCCTGAGGAGATTGACCTCCCTGGGCAGAGGAGAGGCCAGGGAAATTAAATGGTTGGCTTGAGGCTACCCTGCAACCCTAGGTGGGTGAATGACTGCAAATGAAGAAACGGTAATCTTTTCCTTCCCATCTCTTCCCCTCCCTGGAGAATCCTCCACCTTCCCTTCCTTTGGGCCGCAGTTCAGTTGGGAATTGTATGGGGAGCCATTACCTAGTACTCTCGCCTGAGGCCAAGGTGTCCACCTCAACCTGAGGACCTGGGTTCCAATCCACTGTCTCCATGGGGACATGAATAAGGTCCCTTACCTCACAGGGCCTCAGCCCTCATTCTGAAAATGGCAGCAGTGTGCCCGCCATTGCTCTCAACACTGGACACAGGAAGCCTCTCACTTAGTGGCTTGCCCATGGTGGGTTCCAGAGAACAGGAACCTTGTTCCTACCTTGGCGATGTTCCTACCTCGGAGAGGCTGAGCAACTTTTCTACGGTTATTGCCCAACAGATGAGTAGTTTGGCCAGGATCAGTGCCTACGTCCATCCTGCTATCAAACTTTGCTCAGAAACCATTCTATGAATTCTGCCTCAGTTTCCCTCACGGTCAGCCTGAACCTCAATGAAGACCACAGTGTTGTTCTACGTGAGCCCCAGAATGTGTAGATTTGGAGAGGTTGAAGAAGGAGTGTGAGAGACCAGACCTCTGTCAAAACTCCAGATGGGTCAAGCCCTACTGGTTCCGGGTACAACCCCTGCTCTCTGGGGCCTTCTCTGACCATCCTGATGCAGGGTGTGTCCCTTGAACTTGGTCATTGTTCATTTAGGGCTGGCTAAACAGGACTAGGAGTGTGAGGTGGGTGTGGCCTGGCCAGCCCTGGACACCGGGCACTGGTGGCCTGAGGGCTTAGTATCACCTTCCAGACACCAGGAAGGAGAGACTCTTAATAGCTGAGGCAGGTAGTCTGTACCTGTTGCCTCTTTGCCCGATAACAGGTACTGGCTGCATGAGCTTGGGCAGACCTCTGCCCCTCTCCCTACCACCTTTCCTGCCTGTGCTATTGAGATGCTTCTGGGAGGGGGGTACATCCAGTGGTTGGAGCTCAGCGGGGGCTGTCCATGTTTGATGGTCTTCTTGCCCCCCTGTCTTCTAGGTGCCGCCTCCTCTTGTGGTCGTGGTCACCATGTTCTCCTGCGTAAAAGCCTATGAGGACCAGAACTACTCAGCACTGAAGCGGGCCTGTCTGCGCAGGAAGGTGCTCTTTGAGGACCCCCACTTCCCGGCCACTGACGACTCACTCTACTATAAGAGTACCCTAGGGCCCGCAGTCAGGTGGAAGCGGCCTAAGGTTAGTTTCCCCCCCAGGGAGAATGGGTCCCCCATCCCACCAGCAGCCTCCTGCCTGGTCAGGCCCTCTAAGGCATAGTGCACTCAGCGACCAACGACTGCAGGTCTCGGCCTCCCTTCCCATGGCCATGTGGGGTGTATGCGACATGCCGTGGATGGGCCCCGTGTGCAGTAAGATTGAAGGGCAGGTTTGCTGTGCTGATTTTCAAGTCACTTCCTGTACAAGTAGAAGCATGTACTCTCATGAAGCTATAAGGATAGGCAGCAGGTGACCAATGTAGGGACCTGTACCCTGAGTGTTGGTGGCCTTGCCAGCTCCCAGCCTGGTCTAGGGCCCGTGAGTTGTATGCTTAGCAGAAATAGTTGGCCCTGGGCCATGACTTTTGGTTCTGGGGTTTTTTTTGTGTGAGGTGGGCATAGGAGTTCTGCCGAGTGGGGCTCCTGGGGTCTCCGTGAAGGGAGGGTGCTGGAGGACCCAATCCAGGCTTCACCTGGTGTCAGAGAGACAGTCACTGAAAAGGGACGTTAGTGTGGGAAACTAGCCTTTTCCAGGTTACTTGGGCGGGTCGTCACGGCCTCCCCCATGCCTGTTCTCAGAGAAGGTGACTCGGCTGCAGGGTCAGGCTGGGGGGAAAGTGCAGTCACACAGAGACTATTACGTTGGGGTATCAGGCCCCCTCTGGCAATAACAAAGCAGGCAGGACCTGGGGCACAGGAGGGAAGCACCCCCACCTCCTGGGCCTGGTGTGTTAGTTCTGAGCACGTATAGAGCCACGCACGTCTCTACGCTCAGAAGCAAACAATAGTCAGATGTGTACCTCCGGTCTCTCTGGTCCTTGGACATTTGTAGAAAAATGAAATTCCACATTCACGTCCCTCCCAACAACCAGCCTGGGGCATCGCTGTGAACTGGGGCTCTTGTCAGGCAAGGGAACTGAGGCTGAGAGAAGGGACCACACATTCAGGGGTCTCGGTCCGGCCCTTTCCTGACACCAGATGGACCCTGCGTTCTTTGGCCTCAGACCTTGGGACTTTGGGGGAGCTTCTGACCCTGGCTTTCTTCTCCGATCTAGTAACAGGATTTTGGCTCTATTACCCCATGTCTGCTTCGGCAAGGTGTGGGGTAGGAGCTGGTTTTAAAAGGGCCTTTGTGAGATCCTGGTTCCCAGGAGAAAGGGTGGACACCTGAGCCTCCTGCCACCACCCTCAAGGTACACTGTCCTTGCCCTGACCCTCTTCCTAAGACTGTGGACCACAGTCTGGAACGGGCTTCAAGAGGCCCAAGGCTGTGCAGGGCAGGCTGGTGACTGGGTGTGACCCGATGGAGTCACTGCCCTCTCAAGGCTCTTTCCCCTGGGTTCAGGAATCCTATTTCCTCCTTCCTCCTCCTTCCTTGGCACCTGTCCAGATGCCTTTCCAGCTCCCGCTGAAGACGAAGAACACATTGCCTACCCTGGCAGGGTCATGGCACACATGGCTGGTGGCAGAGCAGGGACCACGAGGCAGTCGCCGGGCTCCGGTTTTGGTCAGGCCTGAGCCCAGTAGGCAGAGTGTGTTCCCATGGGCATGATGCCACAGTTAAGACCTGGACTTAACTGGGGAGGGGAAGTGGAGCAGCCTGGGTTGGGGTGGGTTGCCAGCTCCTGACCGTTAATGTCCAGCCTTTTGGCCTCTGGCCTGAGGCAGCTGCGCTTCAGCATGGTCCTATTTCCTGGGTCCTGGGCCTGATGCCTTTTCCCTACAGTCCGTTCTGATTCCACTCTAGAAACCTCTCTCTCAGTTGGTCGTTATGGTGACTTCTCTGTTTGTGGAGATTCTCCTTAGACAGCCTCTGAGGCCGAGCCACTCAGTGTCTCCATCCCTTACCCTCCTGGTCTGGAACTTCCCAACCTCCCAGTCCCTGGGCATTCAGTCTTCCTGTCCCCAGTTTCTCAGTCCTTCCAACCTTCCTGCCTCCCAGGCTCCCCTCTCCATAGTCCCAGCTCCCTAGCCCCTTAGCATCCTAACTTCCCAGGCCTTCAGGCAACAGCCTTCATGCTTCCTAGCCTCTGAGTCCAGCCTTACTGTCCCAACTTACCACCTGTCAATCAGCCTCCCTTCCTCTAAGGCTTCTCCCCCCCCCCCCAATATTATGAAGAACCTGCTTTTTGAGCAAGCCAAGCTTGACTCCAGCCTGAGGTCTCTTCTTGAAGTGAAGTGTGGCTTTGAGTAGAGTGTCCCCCTCTTTAAGTGGGGAGAATAATTCTGGCCGAGTATGGTTTCTGGAAGTTGAGGTGCTGGAGGCATCAGACACATGGAGGCAGCAGCCAGCTACCCTCATCCTTCTGGTCAGCCCCTTGGTGGGGAGCCAGAGCTGGCCAGTTTCCTGCCATTCACCCTGCAGGGGGCACCAGGCCTGCCCTCTTTGGCATTCATCTTTCTACTCCCCCGCGGGCCTCTGTTGTGTTCTTTGCCACCGAGGGAGCCTCTTCCGCCTTCCTTACTGCTGGAAAGAGGAGGGGGAGGCGATGGGGGTTTCTGGGGAGTCAGGATGTGGGCAGAAGCCACTTCTGGTTCTCAGGCTGAGGGCTACAACTGTCTGGCCTCCAGCCAGCTCTCTGCCTTCCCTATGTCTGGGCATTCATTGTCTTGGGGGTTCTAGATGGAATGCATGGGGGTGGGTAGGAGCCCTGGGAACGTTTTCTAGTTTTGAGACCCTAGCATTCCTTGAGACAGCCTGGTGTGCCCACTGCCCAGGATCTCACCTCGTTTTGGAAGGGTGATCTTCTCCGAGTGCTGACCACTTGGCCTGCCTTAGGAAGACCTCTGCTCTCCCTAAAACTGAGCCCCTTGGGTACCTTCCCCTAGTCTTCTCAGAGCGCCAGGGAAGGCCCCTGGCTGGATTGCTGAAGAAGGAGATGGGGGAGGGAGAAAGGGCAGTTGCAGAGGGGGCACCATGTCCTGTGACTTTCCTGTTGTGTCCAGGCAAAGTTCCTGCAGCGGCCACTCTCTGTGACCTTAGATTCGGGAGTGGACAGGAGGAAGGATAAGGACTGGCAGTGTCCCCTGAGGGTGCAGTTGCGTGCATGGCTGCCCAGCTCTGCTGTCCCTCTCGCTCCTGGCTGGGTTCCTGACTCTACGCTAGCTGGAAACCTGAATTTCCTGCTCAGCCAGGAGGGGCGTGGCTCCGACCTGGTCAGACCTGGGCCAACTGGTCCGACCGGCTGAGGTTACCACAGGTTCAGAAGCTAGGGCCCTGGAGGCTAGTTGGCCAGAGGCCTGGGGGTCTGGGGGTGGTTCAGTCCGGGGCTCACAGCAGGCCCCGTGCAGTCCAGTCTAGGGCACTTGGTTATCCCTCCACGCCCAATCAGTATCCTCCCAGTGCCAAACACATCCCTTATCTGAGAGCTCATGGGCAGATAGAGGGACCTACATGCAAAGTGGTGCCCAGTATCCTAGGTCCAGCTCATGGTTTCCCAAACAACCAACCAGGAATCAGGAACTGAATAAAGGAAATAGATTCATTTACAGATTTGGCCTCACCTGCTGCAGTGTTAAAATCCGTAGGAAAGAGGGAGCAAAAGCCAGGAAATCTACATACGTGGATGCACCTCCAATTGGTGGTGAGACTCATCTGTCCTAGGAACTGGCTTATCCCTAGGGGACTTTCTCTTCTGCAGCTGAAGGGATCTTCTGGAATAATTCAACGTTCTTTTAGACCCACCATTACTAAGATGTTGTGGAAAGGACTGGAAGGTGCGTGGGTGGCCTGGCACCAAGGTAGAGTGTGTGTGGACAGAGAGAGAGAGAGGGAGAGAGAGAGAGAGAGAGAGAGAGAGAGAGAGAGAGAGAGAAAGGGGGGGGCAGTATTCCTTCAACTGTGGCTGGACTGATTTCATCTTCATCTTCAGGGCATTTGGGGGTCCTTGTTCTCTCCAACTCCTGTTCCCCCCACACCAAACCCAATTATCTCCGCATCTGCTCTGAAGGGACCACATTCCCGGCAACCTCAACCCATATCAGGTTGTCATTAACTCCATTCATCCGGAGACTCGGGCCTGGCTGTAGTAGGGCCTGTCTCCAACTCATGGTCAGCTAGTGACTCTTCTGGCCGACAGTGGTGGACAGGGACAGGACACCTCTTCCTCCTGGGTCTTGTTGACACACAAGGAAGGGTAGCTTTGTCACTTATAGGACGCAGCACACCTAGAGAGAGGCTGGGAAGCAGACTGTCCAAGTTTGAATCTTAGGTCATCATGCTGCAAGGCCCTGGACCAGTGACCTTGGCTCTCTCTCTCTCTCTCTCTCTCTCTCTCTCTCTCTCTCTCTGCCTCGGCATCCTTATATCTGAGAGCACTACCAGGAGCACCCTGTTCTTTACTCCTGGCCTCCCCAGGACCAGTCCTCGGAGCTATTTTTGTGATGTTTTTTTCAGCGGTAGCAAAGGTGCATCTGCATCCCAGGTATGAGCAGCCTCGGGTGTCCTAGATCAGAGCTGGCAAACCTGAGCCTTCAGGTGCAGGCGGCATGCTCAGGGGTGGGATGGAAGCGCTTCTCCGAAATTCCATCTCTCCCAGTCTGGGGTAGGCATGGCGGGGCGGCAGAAGGGCGCTCTGGGGTCCAGAGCCAGGTCGGTACAGGCGTAGTGGCAGGGAGATCCTGTTGGTGTACCCAACCATCCTGCTCTGCCCTGTCTGCTCAGTCAGTTGTACTTGACCTGGGGCGCCCCTGCCTCCTGTCTGTCACAGGGCGAGATGAGCACCTTGCTGCCGTCTCCCGCTGCAGCTCTGGTGGAACTGGTGGCGGCTCTCTCATTGTGAACTCATGCTACAGAGTCCGCTAGATGCGAGGCCCTGCCCCTGCCCCCCTTTCGCTAGATGAGAGGCCCCGCCCCTGCCCCCTTTCAGAGCCTCCCTCCGTGAGAAGACATCGCTCTGTCTCAGTCTGGGACTCTGGATGGGTACAGTTGGCTGGAAGATAAGATTAGGAGGAAGCGGGGTGGCGCCCAGAGCTTCCTGAGAGTGGTCTTGGGGACGAGAAACAGGCCTCCTGGCTGGGTTTACTCTGATCAGAGACGGCAGGATACACACCTGTGCCTTGGAGAAGCCACCATGCAGCTTGCCCCTGGCTCCCCTGTAGCCACAGCTAGAAGTGGTCCAGGCATCCGATTCAGTTAGTGCCCTCAGAGGAATTACCCTTTCTTTTCCTGGCTTTTTTCTTTTTCTGAGCAATCGAGTCCCAAACACTGTCCTGAGGTCCCATTATCCCATTTTCCCCTGGCAGAATGCTCCACCGCCACCATGGAGGCCACACATACACTTTAGGGCCAGCGTTTGAGGACCTGGAGGAACAGAGAAGATGAGCATTGGCTTCTGTTTGCGTCTCCAGCAGCAGGCGTCCAGGAATTGAGGTCTGCCTCCCAGGCTCTCCTGCCCTCTGCTGGCCATCTGTGGAAGGGTTTCTTCTGCTGTGTTGTGACAGCTTGAGCCTAGGAACAGACCTGGAGACTCTGAAACAGGCAGAGACTGTCCACTCTAGCTCCCATGATATGCCTGGGACATTGAAATATGACTTTCCCTGGAAAGACAGAGAGGGCACTGACTACCAAAGGACGGGATCTGCCTTAGGCCACCCTGGGGGAGCCAATGAGTTTGAGTTTATGGGGACACTTACAGGTGGCTATGCCACCAAGAAGTCCCACCCCAGTTAACTGTTTTGTACTAGTGATGAGGATCTCAGGGTGGGAGGAGAGAGGGGCTCCAACGCGGTGCCTGGTCCCCTGGGCATCCGATTTCCCGCCCTCTGTCCTGCCGAGGGACATGGCCAGCTATCGGATGTCTCTAAGTCTGTGACACATTTAGAGGCAATTGCACTATAATGGGATCTTTTATGAGGTTGGCAGGCCCTCTTGAAGGTCTACTGCGTCCATTCCAAGTAAATGCCAATTGCCCTGGGGGCTCATCAGCCACAGGAATGTTAAAGATCAGAGCCAACCAAATTAACGGAAGTCTCCTGGGCTGCCAGTGTGAAGAGCCATCAGTGTGAAGGGCCTTCAGGATGAAGGGCCTTCAGTGTGAAGGGCCGTCAGTGTGAAGGGCCGTCAGTGTGAAGGGCCTTCAGTGTGAAGGGCCGTCAGTGTGAAGGGCCGTCAGTGTGAAGGGCCGTCAGTGTGAAGGGCCGTCAGTGTGAAGGGCCGTCAGTGTGAAGGGCCTTCAGTGTGAAGGGCCGTCAGTGTGAAGGGCCTTCAGTGTGAAGGGCCGTCAGTGTGAAGGGCCGTCAGTGTGAAGGGCCGTCAGTGTGAAGAGGTGCCACCACGTGTATGATGATGATGGTGGTTCCTTCAAAAGGGCGAGGATGGGGAGGACAGGCCAGGGGGCCAGGGGGCCAGTGGGGCCAGGGGGCCAGTGGGGCCAGGGGGCCAGCGGGGTGGTTCAGCTGATCAGGCGACTGTTATTTGACTCTATGGAAGTTGTCTTCTGACCTCCACACATGTACCCGTGCACACATGTGCTTCATCACACATGTGCATCACACATGCTCCTACGGGAAGGATACTTAGCTAATGCGTTATTTTTTTAAAGGAAAAATATTGGAATGGGCACCCTATCTGCCTTGTTTTGTTTTGTTTTTACCTGCCCCGCCTGGCTACCAAAACGGCTTCAGGTTAATTTAGTGAATGATTTCTCCATTGTATATGATCCTCATTTCAGGGTGTATCCCAGCAATACGCCCAGCCCTGCCTCCTTACAATCTGGAGTGGGTGTTAATCACAGCCCACTCAGGACAAGATTACTCTCAATATTTTTCACCTACATCGCTCCATTTCCTGATTCATCCATTACTCCCACCCCCGTGTTTTCAGAAGTTGCCATGAATCAAGGTCTGTGTGACTCCATCAAAGCTCTGGTGTTCTGCGCCTCAGCAGGGGAGCAAAAGATCCACAGTTCACTGTGGAGCCTCAGGTCCCTCCGCCTAGCCCTTACCTGCAGGGAATTCCCACGCCAAGTAGCCCCTTCCCCCTACATCACTGGGTGCAGCAGTGATCACCTGCACCTCCCCCACCCTTCACCCCTTTGGGGAACAATTGTTTGGGCTTGAAGCCTTCCGGGGGGGCTCCCTAACACGAATCTGACTTTCTCATCCTTTAGGCTGGCCGTTTTCCTCTGGGCTCAGCCTCAGCTGCTCACCTTGTCCTAACCAGAGTCCAGTGGCTGCCACCACAGCCTTCTTAAAATCTAACATAGAATTAAGAATTAAAAATTAGCCAAGTGGTGGTGGCACACGCCTTTAATCCCAGCACTCAGGAGGCAGAGGCAGGTGGGTCTCTGAGTTTGAGTCCAGCCTGGTCTGTACAGTGAGTTCCAGGACAGCCAGGGCTACACAGAGAAACCCTGTCTAGAAAAACCAAAACCAAAAAAAATTTAAAAATTAAACAATTTTTAACTTTTTGCCACTCAAAGGTTGGTTACTCTGGAATCCCCCCCTCGGGGCATGCCTCAGCCTGATTTTCCCTGGGCACAGAAAGCTCAGGCTCGGTTGTTAAGTCTGAGGGCCAATGAAACCGTCACATCAGTTAGGAGGCGTGTCACTCCCCAAACCAGGGAATACCCACCCGGCTCATTTTTGGTTCAGACTGTTCTCTGTAGGTACCACAGGGTGTGTGACTTTCTCTGGGAGACGTGAAGAAACTTCTCTTCACCCAAGATAGACAGGGCATGAGCAGATCAAAGAGAGGGTTTTGTCCAAGCCAAACCCTGTGAACCCTAATGAAGTTATGGGGTGGGTTAGGTCATAGGCGGCTACACCCCCAGGAAATCCCACATCCAGTGGACTGTTACCTTAGGGCATAGCAATTATAGTCTCAGGGGTGGGGAGCCTCATGAGGGTCATGTGATGACTTCTCAGGGTCTTCTAGCCTCTCTCCTGCCGGCCCCCCAAGGGGATGCTCATCAGCCTGAGTTAGCTCACAGGTCATCACAGCTGCTTGGCTTCAAGATGGAGACGATCTTGTCAAGCCCATTAAACGGGCATCGTCCTCAACCTCTCATCTGTGAAATGGGCACACTGCTGGGTTCTCAGGGCCAGTGGGGGTTGCCTGAGTTATAAGGCTGTGTCTCAGTGCTCTGCCTCCCCGCCCTGCCGTCTTGCCCCCTCAGCTCAGGTCTTCTCATTAGTCTCTGAGGAGGCTATGATGGTGTGCCTAGCTGCTTTCCTGGGCTGGGCATACTGTGGTGCTTGCTCTCTGCTCCCTCAGAGATCCACCTACATCTGGCTCCAGCCTGGGCAGGGTGTCTGCTCTGTAGGAGACAGGAATCTATGCTTTCAGCATGTGTCTCTTGGTGCAGAAGCCAAAGCTGCACTTTTTCCACTCTATAGCCCTGCCTTGGGTCTTTAAGGGCAACCGCGAAGAGGGGAGAGATTGGAAAATTAGACCAAGACCCAGAAACTAGGATGGGGAGGGCCTGAGTCCTGCCAGACATGACTCTGCCTGGCAGCTGTCCCCACCTGGTTCCTAGCGTCTCCTGTGTCCCCGTGGCCATGCCTGTGTATCTCTGTGAAAAATCAACAGAATTTCTGCCCCACGCTGGCATTCGTATGTCCTGCGTTTCGACAAGTCCTGCCTGTCTTTGAGCTTCTGTTCCTCATCCTTAGAATGGAGTAGCAACCCCATCACTGCCTGAATGCCCTCATTTTGTACTCAGCGTTAGTCCTTTTGGGACTTGTCATTTGATTACTTTGTGACTGGCCTTGAGGGCCGGCTGCACGGGGAGATCTACTCAAGGCAAGAAGGTGATGGGCCAGGGTCCAGCAAGCTGAATCTTTCTTCAGCTGTTGTCTGTCAGCTCACCCTAGTGGAAATGCCCTCTGGCCGAGGAGGGAGACACAGTCCAGGCAGGACTTTGGGATATGGTTGGCCATGTGGGAGAGAGGGCAGTGAGGCATCTATGCCCCCAGGTTCTCATGTTCTTCTCTCCCTCCCTGCAGGATATCTGCGATGATCCCCGCCTCTTTGTAGATGGCATCAGCTCCCATGACCTGCACCAGGGCCAGGTGGGCAACTGCTGGTTTGTGGCTGCCTGCTCGTCACTGGCCTCCCGAGAGTCCCTCTGGCAAAAGGTAAGGTCTGGGGAGTGGCAGCTGCAGGGGCTATCAGCCCGTGGCGCTCGCTGCCAGGAAAGTGTGGCATTGGGGAGGCTTGTGGGGCTTCCTGAAAGCCTGCCGCTGCGCTGGGCTGGGCCTCAGTTAGCAGACTGGCCTTCCCTCGCCTGTTTAGCCTGGGATCCTCAGGGTAATTCCCAAGGTGATTCTCATGTGTCCCCTCTCCAACTGCTGAGGGACGAGGGACCGTGGAGCAAAGGCTACCCCTGTGAAGTATGCACACTGCCTGTGTTATCCTCGGTGTAGGGATACCACTCAGTGCTCAGTAACTGCTGTGTGACACAGGCCAGTTGCTGGCTTTTCCTGGGCCTCAGTTTTCTCAGTTGTTCATCAGAGTGTGGTCTAGACAGCTCCATGTTTCATGATTTCCGGATTCATGCTGTTGATGTTCTGGGCCAAGGTCTGGGGATTGATGGAATGGGTCCCGGGTCTGCCTCCTGAACCTTCTTGGCAACGCTCAGCAGGAGACCTTAAATATAACACTTGGAACTACTTTCCTAAGGAGGGGAGGCCATTTTCAGTTACATAGTGAGTTCAGGACTAGTCGGGATGTGTGAGACCCTGTCTGAAAGTCATGAAGAAGAAGGAGGAGGAGGGGAGAGGAGAAGGAGAAGGAGGGGGAGGAGGAGGAGGAGGAGGAGGAGGAGGAGGAGGAGGAGGAGGAGGAAGAGACACTCACTGTTCTTATAGGACCCCTGGCAGGGTAGCTCTCAGTCAGCGATGGCCTCCCTGACCTATTTTGTAATAATTATTATCCCTAAACATAAGCGTGTTCCAGGTGTTCCAGGCAGGGGAGATGGCTCAGTAGGAAAAGCCTTCAAGTCTGAGTTTGATCCCCATGATCCCCATGGTGGAATAAGAGAATAGACTCCCACAAGTTATCTTCCTACCTCCATATAAATAAATAAACAAACAAGTAATTGAAACAGGGCTCAGGAATAGGATACATTTTTTTCTTGCTTTCCCAGGCATCCATCAGCCGCCAGAGGGAGCTGTGTCCTTAGCCAACACCCAGGCCTTTGCAGGGCCTCTATCCTCCTCTCCGGTCTCCTGGAGAGTGTGGGCCCCTAGCGACCCAGTAGGTGTCCCTGTCAGGGTCACGACCCCGGCACACTGTGGGCCTTTGGTACTCAGAGCCCACTGCTATGGCATACAGGGGTGGGAGTCTATGCTGGACAGCCTCAGACACGCCCGAAGAAGGGTGTGTCTGTTGTGGGTGTCAAGGGCTGGAGAGAACTCAGCCCGGAACCATCCATCATCCGGATGGAGGACTGGTCCTCAACACAGCAACCTCCAGCCCCGACTCTGAGCAAGGGCTGCACGGCCTTGGCTTGCAGTGGCATGTGGGCCCTGTGTGTTGCTCCACCCTGCCCTGTAATTGCCTGTTTATCCGAGTCTCCCCTCTAGAGGTGAACTCCCCAGGGGCAGAGCTGGCCCAGTCTGCCCCTTCTTGCTGAGTCTGGTGTGATGAGCAAAGGTTGGGGAACAGAGGGCTGCCCCACCTTGAACCCAGTACTGCCCTGTGACTCTGAAGCTGACCTTTCTGTCCATTTCCCACGGGTCTCTTGATGGACTGGAGCCTAACCAGGTCTGGCAATGCATTGTCAAGGAAGATCCTCATCTTGCTGTTTCACTGACTTGGCCTCGCGGCTCTGCTCCCCATCTAGCTGATGGAGAAGCTGGCCTGCTTCTCATCAGTGTGAAACCGCCTCCTTCTGCAGGACTGAGACCCCAACCCTGGTGGTCTCCCAGGCTGACCTCCAGGAGTTTGGCGGTTGGAGGCTGGGCCAGGGTTGGATGCGCTAGACTGATTGCGGTCCACCTCCGGGAGGTGCTGTGCTGACAGGTCCCTGGTTCATGCGAGGAGGCCCTGGGGAGCTCATTACGGTGCCTTACATCCCCTGCGGTCCCCACTGACTGGTCCCTGTTTGTTGTCACCCTCTTGTTCTGTCCTGTTGCTCCGCAGAGCCTCCCTGACCTTCGTCTGTTTTTTCCCCTGGAAGAGCAGTAGGGGGAGTTGTGCCCCGAACCCCGCCCACCTCTATTCTCCCAGTGCTGAGTACTAGATGCAGATGTATCTTACCTGGGGCACTCCTGCCCTTCCTCTAGGAAGCTGTTCCTTTCTTACAAGACCTCAGGGTAGTCTGGGGCTGATGGGCACAGGATTCCAAGCCTGCCAGGCTGAGTCTGTTCTGGTTGCTGGTCACTGATGTTGGCTTCCATGTCAACCTGGCTTTCCAGGCCCCGTAGACAAATGCTGGGCATTTAGGAGTGCCCTTGCTTACACAGCTTCTCTCCCACCCTTCCCTCGTGCGTCCCACCCAATCATATGCTCCGCAGGGCTCTCTCTCATGTGGGTCAGTATTGCCTCCTCCAGCTCAGTAGTTTGTTCCCTAAGTCAGACGGTGGGTCTGAGGTGACCAGGCCCCGTGAACCCACAAGTAGGATATGGTTAGGTTAAATACTTGTCACGGGGCTCAGCTTAGGCCAGATCCAAGGTTCTTTGGGAGGTGGCCTCGCATGGGCCTGCTGCCTGCTCGTAGCTGCCCTGGGTAGCCTGTCAGAGTCCCGGCTGGCAGTTAAAGACAGAAGTGGACATCATGCAAAGCAAGAGTGTTGGGGGCAGCGAGTGAGGCAGGGGTTGTCAGTCCTGGGCAGTGCTGGGCAGAGTAGAGAGTGCTGGGACCAGGCAATCTTTGTTGCCAGTTTAAATGTTTTCCAGTTTTCCCAGATTGCAGCGGGGAGACCTTGCATTCAAGGCCCACCTGGGCTATTCATTAAACCCTGTCTCAGCAACAACGAAACAACAACAATGATAAATCGAATGTCTCCCACTCTGTCCCAGCCCATGCCTCAGTTATGAATCAGTTCATTAGGAAGTGATGAGTGGGGGTGGTGGAGAGATGGCTCAGTGGTTAGGAGCCCTGCCTGCTCTTCTGGAGGACCTGGGTTCCAATCCCAGGCATGGCAGCTGACAACTGTGTGTACCTCCATGATCCATCACCCTCACACAGACATACAGGCCTAACACCAATGCAGATAAAATTTTAAAAATTTAAAAAAATAAGTAAGAAATGGAGGACTTAGCCGTGTCCCGGGTACACAGTATGTTCTGGGGACTGAACATGTGAAATGCCCGTAAGGCCCATGTGCCATTCTCCACCCAGAGGCAGCCGTGTTAGGGTCTCCTCATCCTCTTCTCTGCTGAGGCTGAGGAGGTTGTCTGGGGTGCTCCCTTTGTTTTCCTGCCCACGTCTGCAGCCACGGGGGCCCCTTCAGAGCGGCCTTTCTCTCCTGCGTTCCCTCCTCCATCCAGCCTCGGATGGCTCCTCACAGGGTCTGTCTGTCCAGTAGCTGGTAGAGTTGCTGTGTCCACCTCCTTCCCTCTCTGGTCACAAACATCTATCACACAGCTCTTTGCTGGCTCCTCCCGCCTGCCCGTCTGTGGGTCCCCAATTACAGCTGTCACAGCTTCCTTCACCCCCGACTGCCTGCAAGGTGCACCCCCCTCCCCACAGCGGACCAGCCCGCTCTAGCGGTTCTGTGGCCCTGGATCCCTTTAGGGATTAGAAAGGCTGACACCCCACCCCCACCCCACCTTCCCCCCCGGGATGTAGAAGCCTGAGTGTCTGTACAGATGCCAGCTTCCTCAGCCTCAGCCTCTGGCACGCTGTCCTTGCCAGCCTGCTGTGCTGGCTGGCTGCCTGGCACAGAGCGCTCGGCACCTCTGATTTCTCAGCCTTTCTGGACATCGTTAGGTTTGTGAGGTTAACGCCTGCCCTCTGCCCTCGGCCCCGACACTCTGGCAGCAGCTCCATCCGTCCTCACTGAACCCACAGCTTGTGTAGGGCCCTTTCCCTGGTGTGCTGAGACCTGTCTCTACCTCGCCTTCTAGGCTTCTAGGTCACCTTTTGTCATTGTCATTCATTCATTCAGCATTCAGCATTTCTGCCATTCACTTAGCTTTCGGAACATCCCCTGAGCATGGAAGCCATGTTCTCACTTACAGGGATGAACAAGACAGACATGGCCCTGCCAGGGTGTCCAGTCCAGGGGAGACTCAAAACAAACAAAATCAGGGCTGGGATCCAGTTCAGTGGGCAGGCACCGGCCAACCCCGTGCAAAGCTCGCGTTTGCACCCCCACTCAGACACATCGGCTCTCACATCGCACACTTTCTCTTGTTCACACGCATGCACGCACACTCTTTCAAGCACTTATGCAAACACAAATACGAACTGGGCTTGCTGTGTGGCTTTGTGGGTAAAGGTGCTTGCCAACCAACAATCGGGGTTCAATCCTGGAACCCATATGGTGGGTGGAGAGAACCAGCTCCTTCAAATTGTCCCTGACCTCCATATATGACCTATGGTGTTTACACACACACACACACATATGCATGCATGTACGCACACACAAATGGAATGAAAATAATTTAAGGTCAGAATGTCACTCTGGAAGCGCAGAAGGCATTCCTCTTCAGAAAGGACGTTGAAGCCCCTCAGCCATATCGCCCTGAAGGCCGGCGAGCGAGCAGGCTGCTTGATTCAGCTCTTACCATACTGGTTTCTGGGATTGCTGCTGGTGGCCCCCGTTTGTTTTTCCCATTGCTGGGAACTGAATCCAGGGTCTGTCCGTGCTAGGCAAGGGCTCTGTCAAGGACACCCTGGACGCCTCTCCTTCATCCTAAGATCCCCGACAGCGAGGCTGAGGCAGGAGGATTGTGAGGTTGACCCACTGAGATCCTGTCTTCAAGTAAAAGGATCAGATTTAGGGGCTGTAGTTCGGTGAAAGAAGCTTTGGGTTCAGTTCCCTGTATTGCCGAAAAAAACAACCCAAATGAAAAGCACTTGCTGTGATGGCTCACATCTGTGAACCCAGCACTTGGGAGACCCAAGCAGGAGGATTGCTCGGAGTTTGAAGGCAGCCTGGATGGCTATACGGTGAGACCTTGTCTC